TAGTCTGCTGTTCATCGGAAATAACTAAAAAAATAATATTCAAGAAGTGTGTAAATTAGGCCAAATGATATCCGATGCCATAGTATGCTCTGGTCCTGTTCCAGTTCTTGTTTGATGTGGCGACAAAATCTAAAACAGGCTATGGTTGCCCCATTTAGCTTCCAAAAAGCAATTAAACAGCTAGGCTGTCTTCTGCACCTTCACAGTAGCAGAGATGTAGCACTGACAGGACAGAAGAGCTGTATCCTGAGGTGTGACTGGTCAGCAAAAGCTGCTAGGCTGATGGGCTGGTTAATAAACCCATGATGAGCACGAAAGCCGAATTCGGCCTTTGTCACATTCGCATCATCTGGATCACACTGGAGACACAGGGGCTAACCGATACGTGCTTCGCTGTGGCCACTTGAGAGCTGTGTGTGCCAAGGGTTCGAATGGAATGCTGCCAGTGTAGTCCAGCACGATGAGAAGTTCCCAGGGTGGTGGCTGTGGAGCAGAAGTTTCTGTGCCCCTTTCAACAAGGTCACAGTCAGCTTGTGGGAGGCCAGAGATGGGCTGTTGCTCAGAGCCAGAGGGCTAGAGAGAGCAGCAACATAGACTTTCAAAGACCTGCCACTTTCCCTCATGAGGTCAGGACTCAAGTTCTTCCACACCAAACTCGCTCATCTATCTCTTTATGGACCTTGCTTTGTGCACTGGTGCGCGGTCATGTTGGAACAGGAAGGAGCCATCCCCAAACTGTTCCCACAAAGTTGGGAGCATGAAATTGTCCAAAATCTCTTGATATGCTGAAGCATTACGAGTTCCTTTCACTGGTACTAAGGGGCCGAGCCCAACTCCTGAAAAACAACCCCACACCATAATCCCCCCCTCCACCAAACTTTACACTTGGCACAAAGCAATTAGACAAGTACCGTTCTCCTGGCAACCGCCAAACCCAGACTCGTCTATCGGATTGCCAGACGGAGAAGTGTGATTCGTCATTCCAGAGAACACATCTCCACTGCTCTAGAGTCCAGTAGCGGCACGCTTTACACCACTGCATTCGACGCTTTGCATTGCGCTTGGTGATGTAGGGCTTGGATGCAGCTGCTCGGCCATGGAAACCCATTCCATGAAGCTCTCTATGCACTGTTCTTGAGCTAATCTGAAGGCCACATGAAGTTTGGAGGTCTGCAATTGACTGCAGAAAGTTGGTGACCTCTGCGCACTATGCGCCCCAGCATCCGCTGACCCCACTTTGTCATTTTACATGGCCTACCATTTAATGGCTGAGTTGCTGTTGTTCCCAATCACTTCCACTTTGTTATAATACCACTGACGGTAGACTGGAATATTTAGTAGCGAGGAAATTTCATGACTGGACTTGTTGCACAGGTGGTATCCAGTATCACAGTACCATGCTGGAATTCACTGAGCTCCTGAGAGCGACCCATTCTTTCACAAATGTTTGTAGAAGCAGTCTGCATGCCTAGGTGCTTGGTTTTACACACCTCGAGCAAAAGCCCTTTGGCTCAATTTTTCTATTGCTCCTCTGGCCAGGAGGGAACTAACTGCGCTGGAGAGTGTCAAAGCATGAACTCTTCCGAACAACAGTAACCTTTGGGAAGGCACTGAGAAGAGGCAAGTAGTGAAACATGATGTTTAAGACCCAATGGTCTGTGACTGTCATCTTCAGTAGGCTATGTTCTGGGCCACCAGCAGATTCATCACCGACTGAGGATGGCCATTACCGTCTGTGCCCTGGTGAGAGGGGTAGTGCACCGTGAACTTGGAAGTACAGAAAAGTGGCTTAGGGTGGCATGGCCAGAGTTTCGCATAAGAGCTTGGCCCCACCACATCGACCCCGGTAAAGAGTGCTCGCCAAGGTGGTAAGTGGAAGTTCCTATGAGGTGAAAATGGTGCAGCACTTGTGGGGTCTCTAGCCTTGCTGACATCTTAGGGTGCAGGCATCTCAAGGAGCCCTCATCTCTTTGCTACTTTCTGGCTCACTGACGTTCATGGATTTACCTCTCATTTTTCCGTGATATGCTTCTGACATTAGTCACTGGTTTTCACTGGTAACAGCAACTGATTTTCAGAGATCTGTTTCTCATTGTTACTCTGATAGGCCTCTAAAAGTAGTTATCGGTTATCACTGCTTAATCGAAATACTTCTGTCCAATGACGGGCTGGTTTCTTTTTTCCCTACCAAATGTTCAATATTGTATATTACCTGTAAAATCTAATCCTCTATTAAAGAATTTTTATTCATCAAACAAGGTAAATGTACCCTGAAAGGTACAACAATGGCTTTAAGGTCCAATTGTCTATGCTAAATATTTTTCCCCAGAGGAAATGTGCATATTTATGTGTGTTCATAGCCTAATGTTTTAAAATAGAACAATAAAATAAAACACATGGAGACAAGACAGGGTATATGAAGTCAATACAACTTAAAAAATATAACTGCAATGAAATATGGTACAATTACATTCTTGAACTAAAGGTACTGAAGAACACCCTTGAGGTACCCACCCCAGTGACGAGAATGGTACAGCCATTGAGAGTTTAGACAGTTCAGTACTTTTTTCTAAGAGTGTAGAAAAAAGAGAAAATTAATAAAGCTTGGAAAAACAAAAAGATTGTAATGTGCTGTACAAGCCATTATCTGTCTGCTTATCCAACAGCATTCCTTTTCAGGGCACCTGCCACATTTTTGTTTAAGGCTCCAAAAAAGCGGCACCAAAAAATGTGCTTGTGCTCATGTTGAGGGGAAAAAGAGCAGGAATGTGGGTGCTGGACTGCTTCAGAAATTGGCTGATGCATACCCAATCACCAACTTTCAAGATACTTTTGTGTAACAAGCATTACGAATGAGACAAAATATTTTTTCATTGATGTCCCTGTACAATTTTTAAAAGGTAATTTAACAAAGTGAAAGCAGGTATAAAGAAGAGACACTACATTATCAGACTCTTCTTATCTGTATAAGCAATCTAAACAAATGCTGTTACACGTTTCCACACAGTTGCAGCTATTTGCGCCTTATGCATTTTGAACATAAGGAAAGGTATTTTCCTCATTTTTCCTTATTTTCCTATATTTAATAATAAAGGAAAGGAAAGAAAATTTCATTATACAATGTATATAACAATTCTATAACCTATGATCTAAAACGTAATTTTATTATATAATGTCAATGTCTATGATAGGTCTGGACATGCCTAAGTGGATATGCATTTGTCATAATCAGAAAGACAAGCTTAGACTTAAATGCAAATGAAATTTGTTTGTAAGACAAATACAGCATTCCTCTTTTTTCAAAACATATTTTTCCAGGACAATATAATGACTCGTACTCCCATGGCTTATACACCAGCTGTTGCCAAGACACCTGTTGCTCACAAAATGGCATCTTAAAATACTGCATAACTGCTGACAACCCCTCTAATAATAGAACCCTTAAGGACCATAATGACTACAAGTTTTACTTAAAAATTAGACGTGAATTTTACTTACTGCAAGAAGCTGGTATATGTTAATGCAGGCGTTCCACTAGGTGTTCCAACACATCTACATGTCTGTCCACATGCAACACTATAGCATTCCAAACTACAACAGATATGAATGGACATGGCCCAGATAGCTGGGCATCAGCGGCTAAACAAATCCTAAAAATGCAAGAAAGAATACGCTAAAATAAGTATTAAATGTGTTTATGACAGCTGTGATGTCTTCACTATTATTCTGAAATGTGGGAAACAGTAAAAATAAAGAAAAACCTCTAATGACTAGATGTGTCCAAACATTTGACTTGTACCATACAGCAAAAACAAAGCAATCGTGTAAAAAGTATTACAACAAGCCTAACTCCCTCCACTCACTTCAAACGACTGAGTAAGACTGGAACTTGGAGAAAGTACCTGGGTAACCACTGCGTTTCAGCAAAGATTGCACTGCTCTGTGCTAAGTTTGGACCCTGTCAACTGAGCGAGAAAAAACCCCACTGACATATTTACGTAGTCAACAAAGAGACAAGAGGGAGTTTTACTGAGCCCGCTGCTACCCGCTGTGCCTCACCACCTGGCTCCTCAATGCAAAGAATCCACCGCCACACAAATGGACAGGTTGTTGTTGATTGAGCTAAATAAAAATGGGCTACAAGCTGCAAGCCATATACTGCTCTCTATGGTCTGCCTAATGCTAAGCAACAGTCTAAAAGGAGAAGCACCTCATTTGTCAGGAATATACTAACACAATATAATTAATATCAATCATACTGTGTTAGTATATTCCAACAAAATCACAATGATCATGCTACTTGTGATAACACACTATCTCATGTTCTATTGCTTAATAACAGACATGGAATTTCCTAAAACACTGATTTGAAATTTCTGGGCTAGTAATAATCAACAAATAACTCCTTGTATTAGCCAATACCAATATCAATAATGACAGTTTCACTTTTTTGCCTTTTAAAACAACTGCACATTTTTATTCATATTTGAAGTTCAATAGGCACAAGACTAAGTACATTAATGATACTGAAAGTCTTCAGCATCAGAACGTGACTACTCGTGTGCTACCTGCTACTACTACTACCGATATTACTGATGCTTGTGCTCAGCAGCTGTACTTTATATTATGTGAAAATTTTATGATGAATGGACCAACAGAAATGCTCCAAAACTGCTTTGGATAAAATCTCTTTGCATTTACCTACATAGAGAATAAAGAAAGTTTTTGCCTTTTATTGTAAGGTTCCATTTCTTGTTTGTCTATGAACAGCAACAAAATACAACAATATGGAACTATGGAATTATCTTACACATATTTTACACATTTGTTAACATTCAAGACTAAAAAATCCACGACCTTCCGTTGTCTCTATAATCTATAGGCTCTACCCAAGTCAGTAGTTTCTGCTGGGACGGATGTTTTCATTTTAAAGGAGCAGAAATCGATGCGGCCTTTAAGTGATTTATCATCATAAATAGTAAACATAGGACAACACTCACTCTGAGCCTGCGGTGTAGTATCTTAATCTCCCTCTCCATGTCATGCTTCTGGTCCTGCAGTTTCTTCATTGAACCTGAAAATAATGCACAGAGACAGAGAGACAGAGATGGATGATGGCAATTAACATGTCAAGCAGAAGGAATATTCTGTGTCAGAAAAAAAGTTGATAATAGTTTTCTAATTTGAATTGAAACATTGTTACTGTGACATTACTTATGATCTGCACTTACTACCCACAGTTAAACATTTCTTATAGAGTGAGATTTGAATTTGATTTCCAGACAGTACTAATTTAGTCAAGTCACCTTCTAAAATGCCTTCCTATAACCTGCTGCAAATTACAGAAATCAGCACTATCATGACTCAATAAAATAAAATGCAACACAAAAACAGAATTGGTGCCATGTCCCTTTGATATTCTGATCTAAGAGATGCTTGAGAATAGAACAGCAGTACTCAGATTTTACAACCTATGACATGACACCTTGTTCCCACTCTTCATCCATCCTCTCTCCTCTCTCTCCCTCTCTAGAAAACTCACTTTCCAGGTCATTGATGATGAGATTGTCATGCAGTTTCACAGCTCTGTGCTGCTCCACTTCATCTTCTAGTTCAAAGATGGTATCTTTCATGTCTGCAATCTCTGTTTCTTTCTCTTGTAGATCTCCTCGTTGCTTCTCTACAGCTCGCTTCTGTTCCACCAGCTCCATCTGAACCTCACTCTGAAAGTTCCTGTATTCTACATCCAACTACAAAGATCACAACAAGAGAGGAATGGTATATTAGTAACATATGACCCTGAATTCAAACTAGGGACAGTTACCACAAAGTACTATTTTTGCTATAGAGTACCGTATAGTGTGAAATCAGCAACTAATTAAACAGTGACAATTTGGTGAGTTTATAATTATCTGATTTATCAGGATTATCTGGATTATTTGATGATCTGCATTTCTATTCAAATGGCTCACAGTATTATCAGAGTAGTGCTGTGCAGCAGACTGCTTGTTAATTCAGCACCTGCCTGCTTCTTCAGATTTTTTGCAATGAACACTGTTAGTTCAAACCCATAAATCAAGATACGCTATAAAGATTGTATTGAAGCAAGAAGGTAGTTTTGATCTGATGTATCTAAAAACCTTGCCATATCTGTCAGAGCTCAAACAATACAGCTCCTTTCTGTCCAATAAAATAAATGAAAACCTATTGCAACCTTCTTTGATATCAGTACTGCCAATACTACAAAAACCCTTTAGATTGTAGTTATCATGCAGTAGAGACCTACAATGGTTTACTATTGGATATGATTAAAATTAAGAGAGAAGTGTAAAATATAATAATTAAATTATAGGCTCACTGGATAGTTGCACACGTCATTTCATTTATAATTATGTGTTTCCTTTGCCTTAATAACACCAATTACACAGGTCTCTTCAGTTAGGTCTGGTGATGTTGCTGCTCAGTCAGTGTTGCAATATTCCATCATGTCGGTCATACTGGTCACATACAGACCTCAACAGTTGTCAACCTGGAATGTGGAAATGTCAGTGTCATGTTTTGCTCAGCTAAAAAGCACAAAGTTAGTGAAAGAGTTTGATAAAATGCAAAAGACTCAAGAGACTGGCGAAATCCAGACCTAACAGGACTGGCACTGTCATTAAAGCAATTAACCAAGTATTAGAGAGGAAGTGATGCATGCGACCCAATTTTTTGTCATGGGAGCTTCTATGCATTATGTATATTTTCTATATAAAATGAAATTTTCTCTCGTGACTACTGCATATGTAGTCAAATACTAAATAGTAACTGACAAATACAACTTTAAGAGCTTTGAGAACAACCCCCTGGAAACTGTTTACCTTTTTGAGGGTGTCCTGCAGTCGGATCACCTCAGCACATGCGTGTCCCAGTTCATCCTGCAGCTTGGTGGCCTTGTCCTCAGCATCTTCTTTATCCAGCCTGACTCTCTCCAGCAGCTGCCGGATATTACTCGTATCTCCAGCATTATGAATGGAATAGAGCTCAGCTACTTTTTGTCTCTCCTGCTCTAGCAAGGCCCTGCAACGGTTCAGCTCAGCCTGATTGCTGCCCACTTTTGCTCTGCATTCCTCCAGCACAGCAGCTATGCAAGCGCGCTCCTGGCGCTCTGTCTCCACTAGCCTCTCCATGTGGTGGTTGCGCTCTTTTAGAGCAGCAATTACATCCTGTGCTTCTGCATTGTCCTGCTCAGCCATCTTCAGAGTGTTGCTCAGGTGCTGCTGCACGCCCAGGAGCTGCTCGCGATCAAATCGTGCATTTTCAGCCAGCTCCACGTAACGCTGCTCCAGCTCTAGGTAGCGGCCACTCTTAATGTCTTCGTCAACAGCATAAACTACACCGTGCTCATCAAGAAGTGAGCAGAAATACTCGATCTGCCGGCCGCAGTGCTCCAGCTTATCACTCTGCTGGCAAAGGGAATCCATGAGCAGCACTTTTTCTTCACCCAGTCGCTCATTCTCACCATTCAACTCCTGCGTGATCTGCTGCAGATCGGCAAGCTCCTGGAGCGTGGCCTGCAGCTCCTCAGCTGTGCTGTGCTGGTTCTCCTCCATTTGGTGGATGCGCTCCGTCAAGCAGGCCACAGACACCTCGCTGGTGTTGCCACTGCTGCTTTTACAGGAGTGGTCACAACTTCCTGGGGCTCCACCCTCAGACTCAGAGGAACAAGATGAACCGCAACCAGATGGGGCTTCCAAGGCATCATCGCTGGAGGTGACCGCCTGGTACATCTCACTCGACTCACTATCCAGGTTGTCTGTAGAGCCACTACGCTGGCCGCTGGTTAAAAGGTCTTCCATGGAACCTGGTGCAGAACATTCTGTTGATGATGCCAAGGTAGCACCACAGTCTCCATGCCTTCCAGCACCCACTGAAGATGATGGTTCAGGACTGGAAGGATAGCTGAACAGCTTTTCAGACCCATCCAATCTCTGCTCCAGAGAGAAGCCTAGGGCATTGAGACGGTCCTTGAGCATGCGGTTCTCATTCTTTAGGAAATTCAGTTCTCCACAAATTGCTTGGTTTTGTTCCTGCAGGAGAAGCAGTTTGGACTCCACACCCGCTGCCGTGATCAATGCTGTTGTCTCACGCTCTGGTGGCTTCTTGTCCCACCTCTTCCTCCTGGTGTCACCATAACAAACTTGTTAACAAAAATCCATTTTATCAACAGTCACTACTCTTCAATTGATCTTACTTAAGTTCATAACATGTCTGAACAAATTGTTGTACTAGGTAACAGGTAAGGTAATCTTTCTAAAAAAAAAAAAAATTCACATGATGATGAAAAAAATGTAAAAAAAAAAAATATATATATATTTAAAACAGACACAGCTTAATGGAATATACTCCGCTTGGTACTGGTGACTGACCGCTTTATTTAGCATAAAAATATAATATGGTTTTCTTAAAATGGTTTTCTTTAAAGAATCTTTCACAGACACGTCAGACTCTTTATCTTTCATTTTTGAGAAATCGTTTTTTTCCTATTTTTATGTAAGTACAAAATGACAACCTAATTTTAAGTCTTTAGCTCACTGAAACAGGTTTTCCTGTGTAAGTGTCCACACAGAGATGGTGACATCATCAGGAAACTCGATGCACATTCTAACAACATGTACAGTATCTTCTAAATATCTTCAGTATATCTAAAATGGGTGGTTTAAAAAAAAAAATTCACTGGTTTGACACAATTCACTTTTTTTTTTATTATTTTTCATTTATGAATCAGCATCAGCATGCATTCTGTCACTCAGCAATTGGTGAATCCTCTTATCCTTCAATGAATCTTGACTGCAAGCCCAGTCACTAAACATCATCATACAGAAAGCAGCATGTCTGTCTTTTTTCCAACACACAATGAATGCCATGGACAGACAGAAAAATCAAACAACGCGTCCCCAGATCTCTGCCCTAAAGCAGCTGAAGTCTTTCAGATGTTCTCCCCACTTTTAAAATATGTCACCAGCAGGGAGTTTTACTAGTTAAAAACTAAAAAAGGAGGAAAGTTGGGGAATTCAAAGAGAATTTGAGTGAGGATTTTAGTGAGGATAGATATTAATGTCCTGCCACTCGCAAATGCTAATTCAGGTGCTATTTACACCTACCCAGAGAAAAGTGGGGACAAAGAGATTATGTATCAGAGTTTTTACAGATGTTGCTTTACCTCAGGCAGTCCCAGTTGGATCCTCATATTTCGTAGCTCAATCCGTAACTGCAGAATTTCCAAGTCTTTGCTCTTAGCAAGACCTAAAAGGTCCTTCATTTTGGCCTCCAGGGCCAACTTGTCACCATGAAGCCTGTCAGACTTGGATTTGTTTATGCGACTCTCCGAGTCTAACACCTGGGCCTGACTGCAACAGCGCTTGGGAAGAGCCCCATCAGCTGAGCCTGCGCAAGACAGCTTCTTGCTGCTGGATGTTCTAGAGCTGCGTAAACGATCACGACATGAACTTGGCTCTTTAGATGTTGCTGAGGAGGCACGTTTAGCAAAAGAGCCTTGAGATTAAGATAAAACAGAAATGGAAAATGAAAAGATAAATGTATTGTTACAACATGAACATGTGGTCAAGTTTCACAAAGAAAATAACAAAATTGCAACATCAGCTTTTATAACAAGAAAAACACCATACAGCATAGTGTATACTAGAACAAATGAGAAGCATCAGCAAGTGATTTAGCAATTATCTATTACAGATAATGAGCTTCATACAAGAATGTCGTAAAACTTTCATTAAGTCTTTAACTGTCATATAAATGCAGACAGAGAGCTGGTACCTGAGAGAGTCTTGGCCTTGTTCTCGGTGTTATTTGTGCCTGCCAGAGTACTCTTTCTGTTTCTGGCAACACTGCTGCTGTTCCCTGCTGTGCCTCCAGCCATAGCAGATAGTAGATCATCACTGCTTTTGAACTGTTGGACAAGAATGATAGAAAAAAAACTAGGGATTAACAATTCTACATCAACAGTTTAAATGTTTGTTTAGACATTGATACTTCATATGTATGCAAGCTCCATTTATAAGCCGTACTTATGCTTACATACATTCCATGCATTTGTTTATAAAAATATAGTCACCTGCACTGCATTGTGAAACGTATGTGGACATCCCTCCTAGTTACTGAGTTCAAGTGTTTCAGGTACACCCACTGCTAACAGGTATATAAAATCAAGCACATAACTATTGCAGTGATGGTAGAATGAGTCATACTGAAGAGTTCAGTGACTTTAAATGTGGCACTGTCATAAGAAGCTACGTTTTCCAAAAGTCAGTTCATGAAATGTCAGCCCTGCTAGATCTACCCTGTCAAATTTAAGTGCTATTATTGTGAAATGGAGGCATCTAGGAGTAACAACAGCCCACCCACGAAGCAGCAGACCATGCAAACTCACAGAGCATGGCTGCCATTGGATCACTCCAAACTGCCTCTGGAAGGAACATCACTCAGAGGAAAGAAATATTCTAAATGAGATCTTCTCTTGATCTCAGGTACTTCTCCTGAGACTCAGTTATGTTCCGTTTGAAATCAGAGTGAGACTTAAACCATTTTCTTTTGTTACTGACATTTGGATCCTGAGAAATAACCCCCAGATTTTCTCACTTCAAATCAAAATGTTGTCACACATGTGGCTTAACTCTTTAGTGTCTGCCTCATCTCAGCTGAATAATATTTACATATGAAAAAGTGTAAGATCTCATTGTCATCTGTCAGTGCAAAAGGAGAACTCATGCTTTTCTCCTTCATCACCAGAATGCCTTATAGTGAAATACTGATGTTAATCTCCTCTTTTCTCCTCAGGTGGGTTTATGAGAAACAATTCAGAAATCCTTCATTAATATAATATTGAGATCTGCTTTATTTTCTTCTGGGCAGCCAAGAACTGTGCAAAGGGAGATACAGGAAATGGTCTGCTAACTGCCAAGCAGCTTCATGTAAACCCAAGATCATTATGTGCATTACCAAGCATTGGTTGGAGTGGTGTAAAGCATACCACCACTGTACTCTGGAGCAGTGAATCACGCTTCACTATCTGGCAGTCTAACGGACGAGCCCTGGTTTGGTGGATGCCAGGAGAACGCTACTCTATATTAAAAAGTAACTACACCCCCCTACTTCACCCCTAGCTCATCTTTGAAAAATGCTCAAAATTGGGAGGGGCACTGGGGGATGTTTGGGTTTGGAGGTGGGGCTGGGAGAGAAACTGGGTGGGCTGGGCTGCTGTGTTTTTATAGCTAGCTGATGTTAGCTACCAGAAATTATACAGAGTAACAAAATCAAATAGCACTTTTGTAACTGAGAGGTCTTCCAAGGTTGATTTTTCTTCACCACCAGGTGTTTCTGATCAGGCAGTGTGTCTTTAGCCTTACCATTTTGAGCCACTGGCTCAAGCTGCTGAAGAGTTGTCAGAAAATGATCAGTAGTGAGGGAGAGAATGTCAGAATCATAGAAAATTCCCTAAAATCATCACAGCTAGCTTCTAATGATCTGTTTAGCAAGATACACATTTGGGAAAACAAGTCCTGAATTCTTAGATGTTTTGAATTTCAACAAATAAAGTGGATTTCTATAAAACATTGTCTAAGCTTCATTTATTTTGACATCAACCTATGACAGAATTCTTGTGGAATTGTTTCAATTGTTTCAATTTCTATGAACATTTGCTGTTGGGAGGTGGCCAAAGAAAAAAAGCTAAGCCAGCTAGTTAGCTTACATTAGCTGTTCTCTAGCATTACAATCTAGCTTTATAGCATGCTGCCAGTTCACCTGAAAAGTATAACAGGGTTTGCTGCAGAATGTCCTTACACAGGTTTTTTTTTTTTTGTTTTGTTTTTTTATAATTTTCCCAGGCCAGTATTCCTTGGCCACACCACAAAACAGAAGTAAAGAGAAAAAATGAAATAATAATAATAATAATAATAATAAAACTACTACTACTAATAATAAAAATAATAATAATAAATATAGCCGCAGGCAGCAATCAGCGGGGTCCAAGCACCAGGAAGACATCAAGGAGTAAAGTAGTGGCCCCTGGCCGTAGAATGCAGCAGATCTTCAGATTTTTAAGAAATATCTCCTTTTCCTATGATTAAGCCCACTAGGTGATACATATGCTACAATCCACGCAACTTATTTTAACATCCCTGACAGGGATTCGAACCCACGACCTTAAAGTTCAAAGGCGGAGGCTCTAACGCTGAGCCACAAGAAGTCTGTGGCAAAACTGCAGCTTTTGAAACAATTTATTGAAAGGAAACAACAGGGAACCACGCACCACTTTAGGACAAAGTAGCAGCATAAATAAATTTTATGTCTCTGGACATAGAAGGCAGCAAATCGTTGGATTTTTAAGAAAGACCCTTCATTAAGATAATTAAGCATGTGTTCACAACTGCTACAGCACCATCCAACATCTGTGACAGGGAATCAAACCCACGAGCGTAATCTTCAAAGGCAGACGTTTTCATGGTGAGCTACAAGACACCCACAGCAGACCTGTTTTCTTTAAGAGAATTTATTGGTACGGAGCAATAAGGAACCAAGCACCATTTTGGGAAGTAGTTCACACCTTGCAATTACTGTGACTACTGAGAAGTACAATTCCAAATGAAATCATCATAATACACTCTTAGTTTGTAATTTTGTATATTTATGTCAAATTTGGTTAAATTCAGACAATTATTGGTGTATTTTTAGCAGAATAAGCCAATTCACACCAATTTATTCAAATCTTCAGCCACACTGTGCTTAAGTCATGATTATTTTCAATATGATTGTTTTAAATTTGATTTAAACTCAAGAATTAGTAAGAAACGTCTATTACCCATCTTTTTTCAACTGTGATATTACTGAAAAGTTTTTTTTAAGACTTGTATTTGCAAAATTGTTAGGCTTAGTGGACAACATAATATTCAGAAATGCTCTTCACTTAAAGACATACAGTAAAGCTTTCCATGTATATGTCAACAATGACATGAGCAGTTACTGATTTGGCTCCATCTGGTGGCCAGAGAAAAACTGTTGCTCTGAACAAAATTTGCTGAAATCAAATAATAGGATTTCCTGTACAGTACAACCTACACATATTTGCAAAGTGACAATTCTCATTAAGATGCATAATTTGAAACAATTGTCATGTTTTTATTGTTTTTATTCTTAGACAGGAATAATTACATTTTAGATTTTTGACAGTAAATTGAACATTGCAAGAGCTAACATAGGCAGAATCAAGCCAAATGTCATACGTTTCCTCAACTGATTATTATAAATATACAAATCGATTTTGGTCACAATCAGAGCATAAGTGACAGATTTGTGGTCCCTTGTTTCCGAATAGGCTGGACCGAACTGATTATTCCATAACTTGCAATAACATTGTGCTTAATAGGCAAGATTTTTTAAATAATTATTGATCTTGAGACTTCAATGGTTGTTTTGAAACCAAGTTTGAGACAATGCAAGAAAAACAGAAAAACAACAGAGATTTTTAAAAGACTTATATTTGCAAAATTGTCAGGCATGATGGAAAGCATAAAATACAGAAATGGTCTTGACCTAAAGACATAGAGTAAAGCTTTCCACTAATTGTATATTTTTTGTTAATTAGTTCAACATTGACATGTGCAGTTACTGATTTGACTCCCTCTGGTGGCCAGAGAAATATAAAAAACCTTCTGCGCTAATTAAAATTTGTTGAAATCAAATTATATGATTTTCTGTACAGTTAAGCAACCTACACGTATTTAAGTGTTCTCATTAGGACGCATAATTTGAAACAACTGTCATGTCTTTATTTTATTCTTAGACAGGAATAATTACATTTTAGATTGTTGGCAGTACCTTCAGCATTGTAAGAGCCAACTTAAGTCAATTCAAGCCAAATCTCATATGTTTCCTCAGCTGATAATTTTCAATGTACATATCATTTTGGTCACAATCAGAGCATAAGCGACAAATTTGTGGTCCCTTGTTTCTGAATAGGCTGGACCAAACTGACTGATCCATAAATTGCAATAAAATTGTGCTTAAAAGGCAAGATTTTTAAAATAATTATTGATCTTATGACTTTGACGGTTGTTTAGAGACCTTTGAGACGTTGAAAAAACATTTCAGCAAGCAGTATGAAAACATCAGTTTTCAAACTCTGATGATTTACAGAAAACCACTAGTTTTTAATAGACTTGTATATGCAAAATTGCTTGGCTCTGTGGAATACATAAAATCCAGAAAGTTTCTTTGCCGAAGTTAGATGTTGCAAAGACTATGACCATAAGTATGTTTGAAGTCATAATTTGCATTTAATGCTGATGCTCCCTCTGCTGGGCAGAAAAAATATTACCCTTATTAATTATGTGGCCATCCTGGGTTTGAGTCATATTTCCACATTTCCTGTGCAATTTTGGAACATACATATAATTGCAACGTTTTAGAGGTTAATGAGATGTGTAATTTGACACCATTATCTTTTCTTTATTTCATTCATAGAAGAATATAATGACATTTTAATAATTTAATACACACTAGATTAAGTATTATGACAAAGCTTATGACAATCAATTTAAATGAAACTTTGCATGTTTCCTCAGAAAACAGTACTGTACACGTATACCAAGATTTATCACAAATCACCTAAAAACTAAAAAATTTATAGCCCCCTAAGTCAGAAAAGACCAGGCCAAACAACAGATTCATAGGTGTCTTATGGCTGTTCTTTGCAATAAAGTCAAAGTTTTTTTGATAATTATTTACCTACAGACTCCATAGATTGTTTTAAGACCAAATTTGAAACAATTGTCTTAAAATCCACAGACTAGTTCGAAAAGCTCAATTTTCAAACATTGATCAATCAAAGAAAAACTTTACTGAATTTTAAAAGACTTGTATTTGATAAAATGTCATTCTCAGTGTAAGCAATGACATATATTGATTTATTTTGATGTATGATAAAATTTATAGAACTTATTCTTGTTTATGCTGTATAGTGCCACCTCACGGCCGATTGAGGTCAAACTTGGTAAGCTACTAGAAATTGCCTATATGAACATATGATTTAATTTTTGTGATGATTGGCCAATGTTAAGCCCTCCAAATGACTGTTGAAAGCTTATTGGCCAATGGCGGCCATATTTGTCAAATGATTCAGTTGTCCTTAATAGACCATGTAAATATTAGACCATGGATACAGCATGCAAAGTTTCAGCTGAATTGGCCAAGCGGTAGCGGAGAAACAGATTTTTGGTTGTTATAGCACCCCCTATTGAGCAACCAGTATCAAACTTGGGCTTCCACAGAATCATGTGAGGTACAGGACTGATAAGATTGATGTGAATTGGCCAAAGCAATCCTGATCTGTAGCCGTTTATTTGAATTAAGCCAAACCCAGAGGGGCTTAATTGGCACGTGGCAGCCACAATGTTTATAAATATTCAAAGTTTTTTGATAATTCTTGACCTGCAGACGCCCCTGAACATTTTAAGACCAATATTTT